TCACAAAACGCTGCCAAGCACTATTTGTTCCCAACCAACCTGTGTTGTTGGGTCCTCGTTTTGAAGAGACAGTCCCCGCGTTCTCCTCCTCTCCTCTCCTCTCCTCTCTCCTCTCCTCCTCCTCCTCCTCCTCCTCCTCCTCCTCCTCCTCCTCCTCCTCCTCCTCCTCCTCCTCCTCCTCCTCCTCCTCCTCCTCCTCCTCCTCCTCCTCCTCCTCACTGCGCTTCACACATCCAGTACAGCGTTTCGTAGCCCCATGGGGAACTCCACCGAAGGCCCCAGTGCCACCGTCCACATGCGTCCCCCCCACTCAGTACAGCGTTTCGTGGCCCCATAGGGAGCTCCACCGAAGGCCCCAGTGCCACCGTCCACATGCGTCCCCCCCACTCAGTACAGCGCTTCGTGGCCCCATAGGGAGCTCCACCGAAGGCCCCAGTGCCACCGTCCACATGCGTCCCCCCCACTCAGTACAGCGCTTCGTGGCCCCATAGGGAGCTCCACCGAAGGCCCCAGTGCCACCGTCCACATGCGTCCCCCCACTCAGTACAGCGCTTCGTGGCCCCATAGGGAGCTCCACCGAAGGCCCCAGTGCCACCGTCCACATGCGTCCCCCCCACTCAGTACAGCGTTTCGTGGCCCCATAGGGAGCTCCACCGAAGGCCCCAGTGCCACCGTCCACATGCGTCCCCCCCACTCAGTACAGCGTTTCGTGGCCCCATAGGGAGCTCCACCGAAGGCCCCAGTGCCACCGTCCACATGCGTCCCCCCCACTCAGTACAGCGTTCGTGGCCCCATAGGGAGCTCCACCGAAGGCCCCAGTGCCACCGTCCACATGCGTCCCCCCACTCAGTACAGCGCTTCGTGGCCCCATAGGGAGCGAAGGCCCCCCACCGTCCACATGCAGTACAGCGTTTCGTGGCCCATAGGGAGCTCCACCGTGGTTGGCACCGTCCATCGTCCCCCCCACTCAGTACAGCGCTTCGTGGCCCCATAGGGAGCTCCACCGAAGGCCCACCGTCCACATGCGTCCCCCCCACTCAGTACAGCGCTTCGTGGCCCCGTAGGGAGGTCCACCGAAAGCCCCAGTGCCACCGTCCACATGCGCCCCCCCCACCACCACTCAGTACAGCGCTTCGTGGCCCCATAGGGAGCACCACCGAAGGTCACAGCGCTACCGTCCACATGCGTCCCCCCCACTAAGTACAGCGTTTCGTGGTCACATAGGGAGCTCCACCGAAGCCCCCAGTGGGACCGTCCGAGTGCGTCCTGACACACCCAATTTGGCATTGTCACCCACCCATTACAGAGTTTAGTGGCCCCACAGGGGGCTCCACCAAAGGCCCCCGTGCGACCGTCCGCATGCGTCCCGCACACCCAATGTGGCATTTTCGCCCGCCCAGGGCAGCGTTTCGTGGCTCCACAGGGAGCTCCACCGAAGGCCTCAGTGGGACCGTCCGCAAACGTCCCGAAACACCCATGGTGGCACTTTCATTCACCCAGTCTAAAATTTCGTGGCCCCGTAGGGGGAACTCTACCGAAGGCCAAAGTGCCACTGTCCGCATGAGTCCCGAAAGCCCAACGTGGCATTTTTACCCACCCAATACAGCGTTTCGTGGCCCCTCAGTGAGCTCCACCGAAGCCCCCAGTGGGACCGTCCGCATGCGCCCCGGAAGCCCAATTTGGCAGTTTCACGCACCCAGTACAGCGCTTCGTGGCCCCATATGGAGTTCCACCGAAGCCTCCAGTGGGATCGTCCGCATGCGCCCCCGAAAACCAATTTGGCATTTTCACTTACCCAGTACAGCGTTTCGTGGCCCCATAGGGAACTCCACCGAAGCCCCCAGTGGGACCGTCCGCACGCGTCCCAGAAACCTTACTTGACACACCACTCACCTAGAACAGCGCACCCCCCACCCAGTGCAGCGCTTCGTGGCCCCATAGGGAGTTTCACCGAAGAAGATTTTCACAATTGCAGTAACCACAACTGCATATGGTTGGGTCCTTCGCCAAGATAATTAGGTTTTTCTTGTTTAGCGGCGACGTTTTGCAAGCCCCCAGGCGAAGTCCCGCGAGTCAGCAGATACACAAAATGGATATAACGCCTGGCGGTTTGTCGAAAGACCCCAGACCAGGGCCTGGGGGGGCACCTAACGCCCGGCAGCGCTTCGTGAGACCAGAAAATCCGGAACAATCAAATTCGCTGGGCAGCGTTTCGTGAGTCTGCAGGCTTGAGCGACTAGAACAGACGATCGGCAGCGTTTCGTGAGCCCGCATATTATACAATAGTAAGTAACAGCAACCAAACAAAGCCAGGCAGCGTTTCGTGAACCGCCAGTCGCACATTTCACAAAAAGCGTTACCTATATTAGATTCGCGCGAGCATCACGCACGAAAATAATTCGCAGCATGATGCAGCACCACAGCAAACAACACTGCGGTTTCCATGGTTCTTCTGTCGTTGCCTTTCCCAACCAACCTGTGTTGTTGGGTCCTCGTTTTGAAGAGACGGTCCCCGCGTCTCCTCATCCGTCTCCCTCCTCCCCTCCTCCCATCATCATCATCATCATCATCATCAGCAGCAGCAGCAGCAGCAGCATCATCATCATCATCATCATCATCATCTGCGCCATCATCGTCGTCATCATCAACATCAGCATCAGCATCCTCACACGTTTCGTTGCCACATACGGAGCTCCGCCGAATGTCCCAGTGGCACATTTCGCATGCGTCCCCGCCACTCATTTCGGCACACCCCTCACACATTTCGTGGCCCCACAGGAGCTCCGCCGAAGGTCCCAGTGGCACAATTCGCATGCGCCCCCGCCACTCATTTCGGCACACCCCTCGCACGTTTCGTCGCCCCATAGGAACTCCGCCGAAGGTCCCAGTGGCACAGTTCGCATACGTCCCCGCCACCCATTTCGGCACACCCCTCACACGTTTCGTGGCCCCACAGGAGCTCCGCTGAAGGTCTCAGTGGCGCAGTTCGAATGCGTCCCCGCCACTCATTTCGGCCCACCCCTCACACGCTTCGTGGCCCCATATGAGCTCCGCCGAAGGTCCCAGTGGCACAGTTCGCATGCTTCCCCGCCATTCATTTCGGCACACCACTCACACGTTTCGCCGAAGGTTCCAGTGGCACAGTTCGCATGCGTCCGCGCCATTCATGTCGGCACACCAGTCACACGTTTCGTGACCCCACAGGAGCTCCGCCGAAGGTCCCAGTGGCACAGTTCGCATGCGTCCCCGCCAGTCATTTCGGCACACCCTTCTCCAGGATCGTGGCCACGAGCTCCGCCGAAGGTCCCAGTGGCACAGTTTGCATGCGTCCCCGCCACTCATGTCGGCACACCCCTCACACGCTTCGTGGCCCCATAGGAGCTCCGCCGAAGGTCCCAGTGGCACAGTTCGCATGCGTCCCAGTGGCACAGTTCGCATGCGTCCCCGCCATTCATTTCGGCACACCCCTCACACGTTTCGTGGCCCCATAGGGAGCTCCGCCGGAGGCCCCAGTGGCAAAGTCCGCATGCGTCCCCGCCATTCATGTCGGCCCACTCCTCACACGTTTCGTGGCCCCATAGGATCTCCGCCGAAGGTCCCAGTGGCACAGTCCGCATGCGTCCCCGCCATTCATGTCGGCCCACCCCTCGCACGTTTCGTGACCCCATAGGAGCTCCGCCGAAGGCCTCAGTGACACAGTTCGCACGCGTCCCCGCCATTCATTTCGGCACACCCCTCGCACGCTTCGTGGCCCCATAGGGAGCTCCGCCGAAAGCCCCAATGGCATAGTTCGCATGCGCCCCCGCCATTCATGTCGGCACACCCCTCACCAGGATCGTGGCCCCATAGGATCTCCGCCGAAGGTCCCAGTGGCACAGTCCGCATGCGTCCCCGCCATTCATTTCGGCACACCAGTCACACGCTTCGTGACCCCATAGGAGCTCCGCCGAAGGCCCCGGTGACACAGTTCGCATGCGTCCCCGCCAGTCATTTCGGCACACCCCTCGCACGTCTCGTGGCCCCACAGGAGTTCCGCCGAAGGTCCCAGTGGCACAGTTCGCATGCGTCCCCGCCACTCATTTCGGCCCACCCCTCACACGTTCCGTGGCCCCACAGGAGCTCCGCCGAAGGTCCCAGCGGCACAGTTTGCATGTGTCCCCGCCACTCATGTCGGCACATCCCTCACACGCTTCGTGGCCCCATATGAGCTCCGCCGAAGGTCCCAGTGGCACAGTTCGCATGCGTCCCCGCCACTCATTTCGGCACACCACTCACACGCTTGGTGGCCCCATAGGGAACTCCACCGAAGGCCCCCGTGGCGCAGTCCGCATGCCCTCACCCAGTACAGCGCTTCGTGGCCCCATAGGAGCCCCACCGAAGGTCCCCCTTGGCGCAGTCCGCATTATGTTGTTCGTTTTCGTTCGCGTTGTGTACCACGCCACTCATTTCTGCATACCCCTAGCATGGTTCGTTGCCCCATGGGGATCACCACCGAAAAAAACGAATCACCCTTGCGGTACTCACGCCTGCATATGGTTGGGTCCTTCGTCAGGCTAATTGTGTTGTCTGCGTTTCTTGGTCGATTGAAAGGTGTTCCAGAAATCCGTTTGCGCAAATCGCAGCTGTTATGGGACAGACTATTGGGGTTTGGTTGTGTTTGATTTGATAGAGGGCATCCTTGGGATATTCCGCTGTTCGGAGCCGTCCCAGGGCGGTTTTGGACGCCATCTTGTGGCATCTAGGGCCGTAGTTGACGCATGTTGGGCCACGTTAGACCCTGTGACACCTCGCGTCCCCCTCCCTCGGGAAGAGCGAGCCCTTCACGAAGGGGAGGCAGGGGGCTGCAAGAGGAAACGCTATGAACCACCTACTCCCAGAGGGTTGATCGGACTTCGGTGGTGGTCGACAGGAGTCTGGGTCCCCAGCCTCCTCCTTTGCCGCCCCTCGTCCCCTCACCCCTCTCAGACACTGATCCCGCGAACGCGTCGCGCATCCCCGAGGTACCAGGAGGAGGTCTCCACGAAGAACAGGACTGTCGACGTCATCAAGGCCCGTGCCTGGACAGGGAGGAAGTGGTAGACAACAAGGGGGATGAAAGGGAGGGGGCGGGGGCGGGGGAGGTCAGGGTCAAAGTTACGGGGGGGTGGGCTCGGGGTGGGACGCGTCGACCCTGTATCGCACACTCATCGCAGATAGGGGCCCAATATCGCACTTCGCCCAGAAGCGTGCGGCTTCGCTATCAAGTGGCCACGCTGCTCGGTCGGCGATGTATCGTCGATGCCAGGTCGATGTTACCCCCCCCCCCTTGAGCAGGCCCCCCCAATCGTTACCCCTCAGCCATTGCCGAGCCGCTGCGCCTCTCCCGTGCCACTCCCTGCAGGCTCGCCCACTGTCCGGTTGCGGCCTGGCTTCAGATCGGCGGCGAGCCCGGGGGGAAGGGGGCGGGCCTTCTCAGAATTCACAAGTCCCACGGCCTTCAGAGGAGTTTTCTCAGCCTTCCCCGAAGACGCAGAAGACCTCCCAGAAGGCCGGAGGCCTTGAAACCCGTTTTTTCTGAGAAGGCCTTCTCCTTTTCTTTTCCACCCCTCGTTCGCCGCCGATCATGGGAGCAAGAAGGTCTCTTGGAGGGCTATTGGGGGGTCCCTCCTCGGGGGCCTCGTCTCCCTTTCACTGACCCGACTCGATGTCAGAAGAAGGCGCGCCGGTGGAGTCTGCGGCGGCGACGACCCTGGCGCGTCGGTCGGGGAGAAGGTGCGCGGCCCGTCGGCTGGCTGGGCCAGGAAATCGGGGTTTCAGAGACTGTGCAGGGGGTCAATGCAAACGGGGGTCAGCCAGGGCGCCAGATCTTGCAGGATCCTGCAGGGCCAGGGGTGCATCGTCCCGGGCATGGGTGCAGGATCCTGCAGGATTTTGCAGGATCTTGCAAGGCCTGTCTGACCCGGGTGTGCATTGACGATGGTCCGTACGTCCGCGAGAAGCAGGGTCCATTTCGATCCGATTGTCGTTCCGATGTCGATCTTCTTCCGATGTGATTCGCAAGGGGAAATATTTCTAGTACTGACACCGATACCCTTCCCTCGTCGCCACGGCTGGATTCGCCACTTCTGGGCAGAGCGCCCCCCCAAGAGAAATCCGTGGAGCAGCGGTACCGGTACCTGCTGGTCACCAGAATCTCCCGGGCCGCGTCTGGCAGGCTCGTTTGCGGTCGGTTTCGGCACCGTTTCAGATCAACATTCCCACGCGATGGCCCGAACATGGGTTCTGGCACGACAGGTCTTTAAATCATGCCTGAGGATTAGCCAGCATGTCCCATTGTCCTCACGCTCGGAGCTCCAGCATGAAGAGCTCGGCGGATGTTGCGGGCTGGATTGTCCGATAATCGGGATAAGCGCCGAGTGTCGAAGAGCCAACAGCGGCATAAGCAGTCGAGCGCAGATCCAAGGAATCCGCGCGGACCGTCGAACGTTTATGTTTTTGCTCTTTGTGTATTCCTCTTGATTCCGCGCTTGCAAAAGCCCGTCCTCGAAAGACCCGTCGTCATCGGGATCGGCAGTCCAAGATCCCCGGATTGGCTTGTCTTCCTGCGCGGCCAGAGACGGATGGCCGAGCACGAGTGGCCGAGGCCGCCAGAGGCCCCTGGAGCTCCCACAGCGCACGCTGAGCCACTCGCGCCATCACAGAACGTGCACGGAGCCAATGTCGGCTCGGGCGGCGTGCGGTTGCCCACGCCGCTGGGGACGGCCTCGGCGGTCCCGCCGAGCAGACATCGCCTCTCTCTCTCTCTCTCTTTCTCTCGGCCGCGTGGCGGGGGCGTCGGTGGCAGACGGGCCGCGGCCGTCGAGAGGACGTCACTCAATGGGGTGTCCCGCAAATGGCCACGGGTCTGGGCCAAGGCTCATAAAACAGTATTTCGTTGTTGGGGAAAGTGAGCCCTCAGGTCTCATCACATCGTTCTTGAAGCCTTAAGTCTCATCACATTGCTTTTGTCCTCTGCAGGGGAGGGGCGGGGAGGGCAGGAACAGGCAGGAGGGGATGGGGAGAAGCAGGAGGGAGGGAAGGGGAGGGAGGAGGTGGGAGGAGGGGAGGGGGAGCACCAGCAGGAGGAGTCACGACTCGGAGGGGGTTGGAGGAGCTGGAGGAGAAGAAGGCGGGCGAGGACGAGGAGGAGGAGGAGGAGGACGACGACGACGACCGCCACTACCAGAAGGAGGAGGAGAAAGGAACGAGGGACGTACGCAACTCTGGAAAAGGAGGAGGAGGAGGAGGAGGAGGAGGAGCAGGAGGAAACGGAGGAGGAGAAATGGGAGGAGGAGGAGGAGGAGGAGGAGGAGGATCCACGAAACTGGTACATCTCGCCGGCTCGCTCTGCAGCCAGCTAGCCCACTCAGTGGCCAGTCAGTCGAAGCGACTCGATGCCAGCCAAAGCGCCTCGTGGCCAGCCGAAGCGCCTCGTGTCGAAAGCTGGGCGAGGGCTGCTAAAACCGTGGCTGCTAAAACGGCCCTCCCGGAAAGAAAAAACTATTTCCCGGAATGAGGCGCGGCACGCGAAACAGTCAACGGGTTGCTTCCCGGAAGGACCAAGACAACTTCCCAGAGGTCGATTTTAGCAGCCACGGATTTAGCAGCCCTCGTCCGGCTTCCGATCGTGGCCAGCCGAAGCGCCTCGCGGAGAGGAGGAGGAGGAGGACCAGTGCAAACCCAAGATTCATCAACGATATTGCAACACACTCTTCCTTCAAGTTCCATCTTCATCGGCCCTTACGAGGATTCGTTTTCGCTGAGGGAAGTGCTCCGTTGGAGAACGACCGATTGAAAATCTCGAGCTGCGCCAGAACACCATTCATTCGACATCAACGCCGCGAATCACCGTTGCCGATGCGTCGTCACGACCCTGAATCGTACCAGAACAATATTTCTGGGACTGCAGCACCACGAATCAACGTAACTGTTGCGCGCCCTGACAGTCAGGTATCGTGCCCGCACACCATGTTTGCGATGCTAGCCATCAGACTGCTGTGAACTCTTAAAAACGAATGTGCGCGGCGCGAAGGTGAGGGCCACTTTTTGAAAAGGAGTTGCCTTCCACCCGTGGAACTGCGGAAATTTTTGAAGACGAATGTGCGCGGCGCAAAGACAAGACCCACATTCTTAAAACCACCCGCCCTCCACCCGCGAAATTGTTGCAAACTTTTAAGGCGAATGCGCGCGGCGTTAAGGCAAGAGTCACAGTTTGAAAACCACCCGCACTCCAGTGAAGCTGTTGCAAATCTCAAGCTTCAGGACCATGAATGGTCAGGAAATCTCAGGCGAAACGCCCGGCCCGCCCTTTCGACCGGCCTCGGGGTGCGGCAGGGAGGAGTTATTCATAAGGAAGGGAATGGAGAGGGAGGGGCAATGCTGAGATGCTGCCGAGCCCGCTCGAGCGCTAGACGAACAGCCCCGACCGCCAGCTCGACGACCACCACCAGACCACCTGCCACGATTACCATGATCAACACGGCCACCCTACGACAAGACACGACAGCATTCACGACCACCGCCTCGACGACGTGCCAACTACCACGACCGCCACTACCACCACCACGGCCATCACCTGTACGAAGACAGCCACGATCCCTACGACGGGACGCGGTCACCATCACGACGGTCACGGCCACCGCGATAACGACCACCACCACCACGACGCTACAATTGCCTCTCACCGCCCCCCGCCCCCCTCAGTCTTCCTTCCCTCCTTGCTCCTCTTTCTCCTCCGCATGCGGGAGCAGTCGCGGATATCCCCGATGACGCGGCCCTGGAATAATTGATTCCGTCCCGTTCATACAATCTGGCGTCGGGCATGATTTACTAAAGAGAAATTTGACAAGCAGCCAGGCCAGGAGCGCCAAGGGCCCAGTGCGCAAAGGGGCTGTGTTCAGGCGGCGGTGGGCGAGGGACCCAAAACCATAGCCCTAATGCCCATGGGTCCTCCTGATGGATGGGGGTGGGGACCTAGTCGGGTCCCCCCCGGCCTTCTTTGGGAGTGGGAGGGAAGGAGAAGGAGGGGGCAGGAGGAGGGGGGGAGAAGGAGGAGGAGCAGGAGCAGGAGGTAGGAAAGGCAAAGGGGGAGGGAGGAGATGGAAGGAAGTGGGATAATAAGATAAGGAGGTGGTGGTGGTGGAACTCTGCGTCTTGTCAGCGCCGACGTGCAGTAGCCCTTATAATGGGCTGGCTCGGACCTGGCGAGTGGCCAGGTGGAGGGTGTGGGGGGCCCGAATCCTTGTCAGGCCCTTCCGAGGAATTGTTGGGCCCAGGCCGATCCGCTCCTTGGCTGGTCAGCCCGAGCCTCGCAGAGGCTCTCCTGCACGGGGCAGCCCTCTGGGGCCCCCCACGCGATTCGCAGGTCGAGGCCCCTAGAGGCCCACGGCCTACGGCGTTCTTGCCGTATCCGCTGGGCCCTGGCCTTATTCTCGGCTATCCTGCGCCGCTGGGTGTCAGACAGAGGGGGACGGGAGGGGAGAGGAGGAGGCGGAGGCGGAGTCGGGGGACAGAGGAGGGGGGAGAGTCCGATCACCTCAGCAGCGTAGGCCTCCTCCTCAGTGGGGTCCTGGCGGTCCTCAGGATCCTGGGAGGGGCCTGGGGGGTCCTGGCCAGGCGGACCAGGGGCCTGAAAGCGGCCCCTCTCAGGGTCGGGCCTGCTGCGGCCCTTACCCCTCGCAAAATCCGGGGCCCACTCCCTGGCCCCTTCCTCAGTCGCGGGGATCTCTGAGACATAAAAGTCCGCCAGGCCCTGCACAAGGAGGTGGTGAGACTGGGAGTCATCACTAGGCGCATCCGGGAGCGCGACGTCCAGAGCCGATTCGAGCGTCTCCAGAATGCTCTCCGCGATGCAGCGGCAGAGGCCCGGGGGGTAGACCTTCTTCCGCGCGGTCCGGAAGGCCCTGGATCCTACCTCGCGTCCTAGCAGAGTGGCGTGGGCCTCTCGCCCGTGGGAACATTTGCCTTCCCCAGGCGTCGCGGTCAGGCGACGATGGAGCCCCGCCATGCGGAGCCCGAACAGCCTGGTCGGG